ATATCTGGGATTGAGGGCAAATTTGAAATCGTCTATGTCTATTTGTTTAATGGTTTTTAAAGGATATTGTATGTCAGTTTTTTAATGTACGTTAAGAATTTGAATTTTTTATTGTTATTTTTTGTGGAAACCGTTTCGAATATATTACTATTTTGAATTTTGGTTTTTACAAACGACTCATATACATGACTATAATAAGACCTATTTGGACTTATGGAGCTGAGCTGTGGGGCTCCACTAAACCATCAAATTCCTCTCCTTCAGAATCCTTTTGTTTCTAACCTTGCTTCATCTTCGATTCCTGATAACCCTCCGAGACGTCTGAAAAGGAGATGGCCTCGTGATCTCCTCATGTAGACAAATTATTAGAGTGCTACCAATGGGTAGTTTCTCAACAAGCGTGTTTCATGTGATAATATTTCTATGTACACATTTACTTCATGTATTCATACTAATACAGTTGTAAATATCATAATAAAAGTTAAAAAAAAAAAAAAATTTGGTTTGGTTCAGTGTCCTTTGTATTGCTTAGTGAGCTGGTGTTGAAGAATTGTTTTAGACTGGTTTTGGTTAGGGGCCGATACGTATTCAAGTTGATAGTAGGTTCATTTCCATCTCTATTTCTTGTAAGGCTATTATGCTCGTATATTATTTCTGTGCTCTGAACATCGCCGAGCAATGATTCCAAAACACTTATAAAATATATAAGAGAGAAAACAAAGTATCCTTTTAAGAAATAAATTTATTGATAAGTTTTGTTCGGAAATACAGCATGTTGTTAAAAGAGGAAGTTTTTGGATTATTGTTTGTTTTTTTTTTATTTTAATTCTTTCCAAAACGGACCCTATTTATGTTTCAATGTTTTTAATAACTATCGAAATAATCAGATATTTGCATAAATACTGGGTACAAACAAATAATTTCTGTTATTTAAAAATATTGGTTTTTATATCGCAATTGGAATAGAAAATGTAGTTTTTCACGTTTTCTAAAAAGTTGTCGACTGATTAGGGTTAACTTTAGAAATAAACTACTCATTATATATTTTTTCTAAAATTTAATAGAACACATTTTGTTAATCCATTCTTAGAACTGACTTTTCATTTCATAAAAAAACACAATTTCCTTGGCAATGCCTAAAGGAAAAATTATTTAACTTCACATTACATATTCTCTCACTGAAATTGTGAATTAAATTCCACTTATTTCCTTAGATGTTAAAATGAATTAAAATAATTATAATTTGTTTATTTCCATTGACGAATCCCAGTTTTTTTTTTTTTTTTTTGTCTATAAAATATGTATTTGCGCCTGTCAATATGTGTTTGACCGGGTGATCTCCAAGGCAGTTTGCGCAGGTTGCCTTTGTCTCCCTGGTCTTTAAGCAGGATACACTTTCGTAACCTTGGCCACATTTAACACATCGTGGAGTTTGGTTGCAATATGATTTTGTATGACCATATTGTTGGCATCTTATACACTGAGGTATAATTCTTTTTTTTCGAGACTCCTCTACAACAATTTTTGTATAATAAATTGATTCAATTTCATAATTTTTTTCATTGAAAGTAGGCTTTGTTATGTCTATGAAAAACATGGGCAAAGGTTTTTTGAATCGAGAGTATATATTTGTGATGTTTGTTGCAATGTAGCCATGTTTTTCTAAATCATTTTTAATTTCAGAGATTGGGGTGGTGTGGTGCAAATTTTTAATAACAATTCTTCTATTTTTGTCCTCGGGTAGCTGATATGTGTGGAATTCAGCACCTCCATTTCTAAGACTACTAACTGGTTTATTACGGTATACGTCAGGTGTTTTCGGGTAAACTGTTACACAAGTTGTTTTCAGAAAAAAAGAATTTGGAGCTGCGTTGTTTTCAAGGAATAGGACTAATGCCTGATAATTTTGAACGTCGTTTATGTGTATTGGTGGTGGTTTTTCGTTTGTTTGATCATTTACTGCGGATTGTTCATTTTCGGTAATGGTATTAAGTACATCATAAGAATTACTTACAGATATTGGCGTTGCATTTTCTGTTTCGGTTTTTTTGTATTTTCTCGGATCCCTAGATTCATTAGGAAAATTTCTCTTTTTACCCGTTACCAATGCCCAAGCATCACCACAAGTAGCGTCGATTAAGTCCATCCTTTCGTCCCTTACCACAACATTTGTAGTTGGGTTGGGATACATTTTTTCGGTGGATATCACCTTCAACTACGTATGTTCACTTTCACACCTTCTTCCTTCAACTTCGAAAAAGAAAATTTTACGTTTCTACTTGAAAATTCAAATGAAAATTCAAATAACCTTTATAGTTATAATTTTTTGCGTTTTTCCAGTTTTGATTTGTAAATATTTCAAGGTCCCTTGAATCCAAATAATGTCTGGCAAAAAGATCTGGGTGCAAGTATGTGAAGAGCATTGCTCAAAAACAAAAGACGTGCGACATTGAAATCGCTGAATTTTCAGTGCTCAAGGTCCCAGGTTCGAATCCTTCTGATCGACTGATGGCAGATAAATCATTTATTCTGTTAATAGGCCGTGGATCGACCTTGAGGTCGGAAGACCCTCCTGGGGCACACCCATAAAATGGATAAAGGGGAAAAGCCTCTTAATTGATAAAGGGAAAAAGCCTAGCTGTTCAACGTGATCTCGGTAAAATGACCTCGTTGCGCAACTGTTAACCAAGAAACAGTACCATCCCTACATAGTACGGCACCCAAGACCCTCCATCGGTCCTAGTGATTTTTTTTTACATATTCCTGGGGTGTTGCAGCACTTTTTTCGCTAAAACCGAACTATCAGAGGTTTCCTTTGATATCACTGATTTTATGTATTTCTAAAATTTCCTCGAAAACAGCTCTAACGGTTTTGATAACATTTATTTTCAACTGTGATTTCGGATTTTACTTTAATTTTATTGTAAGAATTAATTGTAAATTGTGATTTATAAAATGAATGTTAGGTTAAAGTAGATTGGGTTTAAGATATCCATAATTATTTCTAACCAGAAAATTATACTGAACTATTTAGTTATGAAAATTGAAAAGAAGACGATAAACCGAAATGGAAGATAAGAAGTAATCTAAGTCGAGTAGGTTAAGAAGTATTATTTATTTTAATTAGGAACTGGTGCTTTAATTATAGAATCCCGAGGGAGCTGTGTTAGTTAAACTCTTGAAAACTTTAATTGCATTCAGGTTAATTCAGCAATTCTGGAATAGATCAAAAACCAGTTTGGGATGGAAATTAGTTTGATTTTAATCCCATTAATGTTTTTGTTTTGTTTTCATTTGTTCACTTCCCTTCGAAATTGGATTCTAGCATTAATTATCAAAGAATAATTAATTTATGACTCACTCTTTGAGTAAAATCAGTAATAGTTTCCGAATGATCCATTTAACTATTGTGGAACAATTTAATTTGGACAATCGCTGTAATTATTTATTTTCATAGTATAATTACCTGCTTGTCATGACCTCGTCATTTGTAGAAACGAAAAAATAAATTACTTTTCTGTAGTTATAAACCTTCTTTTATCAGTTACCAACAACGTTAAAGGATTATCCTATTCAAATGCGCTAAGGAGATAAGTAAACCCTGGTTTACGAAGGGGCTGAAAAAACGCGGATTAACGTCACTTCGAAAACGACGTTTTGGTACTGTAATTTAATTTAATAATGTAAATCCTTTAATCTATACTTTGAATGGATATAAGCCTAAAAATATTTGACAAGAATGGTTTACGTTAGCGGGGTACATTTTTACTTTCTCTTACCTATATATGATATATATTGTAAGGGACAGTATTGCGATTGTGAACATTTTTAAGGTGGATTTTCAAAGGAAATACACGTTTTGAGATCTCCTTAGTCCAAATAACTAAGTCCCAAATAAAATGGTCTCTTTGTGTATTTAGGTGGCAGGTCTAGCTCAAAAACGAATTGTATGAAAGTGAAATTGCATATTTATAGTTTGTATATGCCTGAGATATTACATCAACTTTATCGTCAAAATTGGCTAACCGATTAGATCAGATATTTATTTTTTGCTTCCTCACTACCGAAGACATTGACTCAAATTTGCAGCGGTAGATGTTATAAAATCTTAAACGTAGATGAATCATAAAATTGTAGGACATGTAGCTACATATAAAATTGGCTTTAAATATAAACTGATATTTCAATAATGTATGCATAGATCGTGGAGAAATACTTACGTGCCTTCTAGGTTTTAGCTTAGCCTTCTAATCGACTTTTCCCGAATTTCGAATTGAATTTGGTTTACATATTTTATTCTTACATTTCGATTAATTGTTATTGATTTTGTTCTTTTATTTCTCCCATATATTGGGGAAAAGGGATAAGGCAAAATATTCTTGCTCCCTTTCTATTTTTATTGGGGTATCGCCCCTCGCCTGCCCTCTGTGATTTTCTTTCAATACCTGCTACATCATTATCTGCAGAGAGATTATTTTCTAAAAAGCATCATTAATAATTAGATAACAAAGAAATAACCCAAGGGTTAAAATTATAACTTAACATTGGCAACAATGTATAGATTGTCTTTACTCTACAACTCTCCCAGTCTTGCTTTTGGGCTACACTATATTCAGATCAAAACGAACACATTGTAGAGATTTCTATATTCCTCGTAAATAAATTCTTATGATGACGTTTCGACCCAACTTCAAACCATTCTGAAGTTTAATTATTAAAAACTGATAAAATTCTAAAACGTTATCGAGAGCAACGAAAATAACAATATTCTAGTTGTATATGAATAATTGAATTATTTCATTTAAATCATGTTTTATTTGAAGAGAAAAACTGATGATAGTTATTTTTATCTTCATATGTAGACAAAACGAATTAATGTTTTAATTTTAAGACAATAAAAATTAGCAAAGAAAATTTCCTGTTATATTTAAATTATGATAAATTATATTCTTTCTATTTTGTTTATAATTAAATAATAATCTTTTTCCTGCCTTTACTAGGTCCAGTTCGCCCACTGGGTGGAAAAGGGAATCTCTCCGGACGTTTACTTCATCATCTACTATCTGTTCCGGGTGGTGTTCGTGCACGCGGTGCCATGCGTTTCCCTGGTAGCCCTCAACCTCCTCCTCTTCCGCGCCTTGAGGAAGGCTCAGGAGAAGCGAGACAAACTCTTCAAGGAGAACCGGAAGAGCGAGTGCAAGAGGCTGAGGGACTCCAACTGCACGACTCTTATGTTGATCGTCGTTGTAACTGTCTTCCTTGTTACAGAGATTCCATTGGCAGTTGTAACGGTAAGTGAGGCATACATTTTTTCTTTTACGTATATATATATATATATATATCTTGTATATATTATAGAAAAAAAAAATGACATTATTCTACAATATACTTCTCTATGAAACCGATTTATCGTGATATTTCGTCGAAATAAGTATATAATTTAATCACATTTGAATCACAATTAATTAAGGGGTCATTTTATAATCTTTATATATATATACATATATAAAGAGAGAAAGAATAAAAGTAACAAGTTCATAAAAATGTGTCCACACTTATACATTTTTGCAATAGCTCGTTTTATAAATAATTTCTCCAACATGTTTGTTACATTATTAAAAACGCGTTGCACTAAAATTTACATGTTCCCACGTTTAAAGGCCATTCACTAACAATTTACGGACGATTTATTGATTCCTTACAAAGTACTCTACACAACCCAACCACAACTCCCAGAAATATTTCACGATCCCCAGAACTTGTTGGATGAGAGAGCAATATGGTTAATTTCTTGCTATAAATAGATAGGAAATGTAAATAAGTTTTGAAACTATTATTTCGTTACTCATCTTTCATTTTGGATGTTGCTTTTTTCAGTACTTTTTTTGCTTCCATCCCATAAAATCGAGATTTACTACAAAGAAAGAGTAATATGTCATCAGCGAACGGTATAGTTTAATGGGCTATTTAAAATTCTATGCTAAATCATTAGTTTCAATTAAAAAACAGTCTCTCACATTAGCGGATCCAGGATTTAGTTTTGGGGAGGCTTCAGCCCGAAAGATTTTTTAAATATATAATGATAATTACTTAGGAAGAAAAATAAGTGAACTAAATTACCTATATGAAATAGAGTTTAAGTGATTCTTTAAGTACTATTAAATGTAATTACATGAACAATGATACTTTTAGAGGTAATTATTAAATATTTTTTTATTTAATTATATATATAATAATAATAATAAAAGGCTTAGCGAACCCGAAGGTTCGATGCCGACACCACCAATCGCTTATTACACACCTCCCTCCACCGTTCGCCGTCCAAACCCAGTCCCTTCAGATCGGCTTTAATGCAATCTTCCCACCTTCGCTTCGGTCTACCCCTCGGACGCTTACCATTCGGCACAGCAAATATTAACCTTTTAGGAATTCTCTCGTTACTAAGTCCAACAACTTTACTAGCCCATTTGATTCGCCGCGATGAAATTATCTCAATTATATTACTCGGATACAGTTCACGCAATTCGGCGTTGTGTAACCGTCTGAACTCTCCGGTTAACTCATCCTTCTTCGGTCCGAATATTCTACGCAATATTTTATTTTCAAAATTATATATATATTTAATTATATATTTTTTTATATAAGACTGGGTTATATTTTACCATTTTTGGGAGGCTTCAGCCCGAAAGCTCCTTCCTCTCTCCCCTCCTCCCTCCCGTTGATACGCCCATGGTGTCTCACTCAGTGGTGAACATTAGGGCTTAGCATTTTGAGGTACCTGGATGGACCACATAGAGAATCCAACTGCTACTTGAAAATTCCTTTATTTTATGTAGTTTTATTTTATGTCTTAAATTGTTCTTGATTGGTTAAAATCTGTACAAAGAGTCCCGTCAGCATGCTCTTATGAGCATTTTCCATACCCAAGAAGGCAGTAGTCTTTTCGTAATCAAGCCTCTCCAGCTTCATAATGTAGTAGCGAAATAGCATCAATTGAGGAATAGATTCACCGTCTCTGAAACCAAATTGATGAAGTTTAAATAATTTCTTTCATTCCATAAGATGCAAAAGAACTCAGTGGAGTCGAACAGCTAAGTGGTAGGGCACTGAGCTTCCAATGCTAATGGTCCCAGGTTCGAATCCTCGCTCATGGCAGAAAAAATATTTATTCTGTTCCATTGACCATAGGACGACCCTGGGGTAGGTAGAACCCTCCTGGAGCATTCAGCTTCTAAAAGGGGGTACCCTTAATTAAATAATTGATTAAGGAGGAAACCTGGCAGTTGAGAATGATCCTGCTTGGCCCGATCGCCTCCCGGCACAACTGTTGCCTTGAATTAGTACTTAACCTAAATAGTACTGAACCCAAGACCCTTCGTGGGTTGTAGTGGTTCAGTTTTTTTTTTTTTTTTTTTTTACGATTTAAGGAAAGTATTGCAATCGGGACATATTTCCGACGTGCCGTTTTCAACGGATTTTTACTTTTCAGAACCCTTTAATTCCGAATAACATATTTTTAATCATTGGTGTGTCTGTCTAACTGAGCCAAGCTTATTTTGAGAACGGGTGGACCAATTTTGTTACTTCTTTTTATACGTTTTAGAGCCCCCTGAGTCCAAAATACACATTTTCAGCCATTGCTCAGTCTGTCTGTGGCAAGATTATCTCTAGAACAAGCAGACCGATTTTGTTGCTTCTTTTTTCATTTTATAGGATTTTGGGGCTACTGATGCCTGTGACACAAAATGCCGCTGTACAATAAGTGAAAAACATGTTTTTCTATAGACTGTAGCGTAAAAATGGCTTTAACGATTTTGATGAAACTTTCCTATAATTTTCTAATTAATGTCATTTCAATTTTCGCGCATTTACTAAATTTCTTAGATTTTGTACACGTACTAAATTTATAAAAAAAATATAAATGTTTTGGGGCCTAACTCTGTAAGTAGGTATACATTCTATGCTAAAATTTGTATTAAAACATTTGAAAAGTAATTAAATTACCTACAAAACAAACAAAAAAATCGAACCAGTATTAGCGATGAGACAGCGTATTCTATTTTCTACACATTTTTAATTTATTACTTTACTACCTATACAATGTAAGGAAAGTATTACGATCGGGTCAAATTTTGTAAAACGTTTTGATCGGTTTTTTTAAAGGTAATGGAATTCCCTGCAAAACTATATCAAAATCGTTCACTTCGGACAACTATCAACGAAGTTAAAGACAGCTATTCAATTTCGTATTTAAGATTACGAGTTGAAATCCTGGTGCCAGAAAGTGGTGAAAGCGAAAGAAAAAAGAAAAGTAAGTGAAAGTAAAAAAATCTGGTGTCCGTATCACACAAGTTTCACTTGTTCCTCCCTTTTAACAGAAAATATTGTCTGACAATATTGGGCTGAGGAAAAAGTTTATGATTAGCAATATAAAAGTGTATTCAATTTTTTACGTTCACCTTCCACAAGGTTTACCTTGCTTTAATTTATCAAAGAAGACGTACTCAAATATTTTCTTTGATCAATTTTCAGGAAAATAAATCTAATTCAATTTTTTTTTTTTTTTTTTAATGGACATATTTAAACATACAAAAACTTCTCTGAAATAGGAAAGTCATGTGGGTGGACACACCAGATTTTTTATTTTCCGTCCTTAATATTTCGTTGGTAGATTTTTTTTGCGTTTTTATTTGGCATTCCCACAGCCCCTTCTATTTGAGCAAGAGAATTAAAATTTTGTATATAAATTGAGTTAGTATTAGGTAAGTGCCTTTTATGGGTACTAACTTTTATTTTTCATCCCTATCATTCTGACATATTAAACAAATTCAGTAATTCAATGTATTTTAAAATTCTATTCAATTTTCTCAGGTGAATATTATTGAAACATTTAAGTCTCCTTTTTTGGTTATATACGATATGACGAAGTTACGGAGCTCAGTTGCTGACTTTTTTTTATTTATAATTCATAGATTATTTATAATTTTCCTTTGAAATTATATTCTAATTAATATTTATTTTCTATTATTGTTAAAATTGGGGCACTGTTTTAATATTTAATAAAAACAATATAATTATTTTTTTAAGTGAGCTTTACAATCCAAATTTTTGTAAATTATTTTAACTGATACATAACGGAAAAGAAAACTAATTAATATGCCTTATTCTAAACATTGCGCAACCAACGGGCTTTGCTTTCTGTTACGAAAAGAAAAACAAATAATTACATGAAAAGACTTTTTTTCATTAATGGTTGAAACTGTAGTCCAGGAGAAACTTTTGACGTAAAGTAAGTTTTATATTGCTTTTTCTTTCTCTCCCCCCCCCTTTTTTTTTGTTTATGTTTTATTCGTTTTTATAAATGGTAGGTTCTGTTATGTAATAGTTCCAATGTCTCCAGGATATTTGCATGGCTACAAAAAATACTGGGAAATATAAGAAAAACGTAACATTCAGTCATTTACAATATAAGTTATTAAACTAGATATATTCATATACCAAAGTTTGTAAAAAAATATCGTGCAATACTATCATACCATTTAAATATACATAACAGAGATGTAATATTGACTAGTCAATGATACAACTCCAATGTTTGTTGGTTTTTTTTCCACAGAATTGGTTTTAATTAAAACTCCATTTTAAAACAGTCGCAAACAAAACCAGAGAAGCTTTTAAACCCTATTAGCTATCTATTGGTAGTCCAAATATTTTCCTTCCTGGTGTTTGTGTTCCCTTTCAGAAGTTCGGTCCAACGCCCCGTACAACAGTGTGTGGCTATCGGAGTTTGCTTTTATAACATGGCACAGAACTGATTGGGACAGCCTTTGTAACAGGAAATTCTACTCAGTGTTGAAAACAAAAAGGTTAAACAATAGTGTTTGGGATATGTTTTGATTGGCAATATCGGTTCTACATGAAAATTAACAAAATCTTACTTATTCGAATTATATTGCTACATTTTAGAAAAATCGACCCTTTCAAGGTTTGTTCACCAATTTTTTTTCTTATATATATTTATTGATATATTTGCGTTAAAACGTTAATAATTTAGGGAAGTATCAAATGATCACCCGTTTTCTGATAACCCGTTGTCTTCCCCCTGGTGTATAGTTGATTGCTAACATTTTAAATATCGTAAAAATTGAAGGAAAAAGACATTTGCAGTCCTTCATCCTACCGACCTATCAGTCTCCTTCCAATATGTTCTAAAGTTTTCGAAAAATTAATGTACAAAAGATTGGTTGACATACTAACGGAGACAAAAAAAAATTCCTGACCATCAATTCGGCTTTCGCACATTTCATTCAACTACGCACCAATTACACAGACTTACTGACTCCATTGCTCCAGCACTAGAGCAGAAACAATATGCAACCGGCGTATTTCTGGATGTTCCCCAGACATTTGATAAAGTCTGACACCAGGGACTTTTCTTTAAACTCAACACTGTACTATATGATACATACTATCTTTCTTTTTTTCTTTCTTTTTCGACAGATTTTTCTCTGTCCGACATGGTTTAGAAATTTCCTCAATTCGACCAGTGCCAGCAGGGGTACATCAAGGATCAATACTGGCTCCTTTACTTTACATTATCTATACGCATGACATGTTAACGACCTCCGAAACATTGACTGCTACTTACGCTAACTATACAAAGATATTAACAAAACATTATGACTACAAACTAGCCTCACTGAATTTACAAAATCACTTACTAAATTTACAAAATTGGTATTCACTTTGGAAAATTAGAGTAAATCATGACAAATCGCAACATATAACATTTACACTTCGACGAGACACATGCCCTCTTGTTTATATCAGCGACAACCAAATTCCTCAGATTGACACTGTACGTTATCTCGCGCTATTATTCGACAGAAGGATGACCTGGGCCCACATGTCAAAATGAAACGAAAGACTTTGAACAAACGACTGAAAATACTATACTCCCTTTTTTCCAAATCAAAATTGAAAATCAGACAAAAACTAAATACATACACTTACCTACTCAAACCATATGGACATACGCCTCACAAATTTACGGTTCTGCAAAAAAGACGCACTTACAAAAACTACAATCATTTCAATCCAAAATTTTAAGACTAATAACAGCAGCTCCCTGGTACGTAAACAACGAAACTTTGTATACTGACTTACAACAACCTACTATCGACCAGCACATACTTATTCTCTGCTTCCGATTTCATCTTAAACTACACGGACATCACAATGGACTTATCAACGACATGGCCAGAGCTGACATGCCCATCAGGAGACGACTGAAGAGGAGCTGGATGAGAGATCTCCTTTCCTTTCCTAAATTATGAAGTAGTACAAGAGCAGGAAGAGGTGCTGCTGGGTACTAATCTTCCTCATGCCTAAAATGCCAATTTTCTTTTCAAAAACATCTGCTTATTGTCAAGATTATAACAGGTGTGGATCGAAGCATACTTCTTAATCTTAATCTCCTCATAAGGAGAGAAAAAAAGTTACATATAAAACATTTTTTATATTCTCTTTTAAGTTAATGCGTCAAAACGTAAAATGAGTTTAATTTAAGCTACAGAATAATTTTTTAAAAACAAAGAGGAACATAAAAGTGCATATTTTTAAAAAATATTACACAACTTTCTATTTTTTTTTTTTTTTGTTTTTATGATGTTTGCAACTGTATTAAGAAAGATTACATTAAATAAATAAAAACATGAAAAAGTTGTTGAGAAATTAGCCATTGGTAGCACTCTAAAAAAAAAATGTATTTAAAATAGATCTCGAGGCCATCTTCTTTTCAGACGCCTCGGAGGGTTATCAGGAATCGAATAGGAAGCAAGGTTAGAAACAAGAGGGTTCGGATGGTTCTGAAGTTTATTACGAAAGGATAGGTATCTGGATTTGGCCAATTCGGAAACATAAGGAACATTAAGGTATTTATGGATGATTTTATTAGTGACAAAGTAAGGAGTATTGAGGACTTTACGAAGGATTTTGGATTGTAAGAATTGGATGCGTGAGGAACTCGATGGTTTTGTGGACCCCCAAATCTCAACTCCTTAGGTCTATAGGTCTTATTGTTGTCATGTATATGAGTCTTTTGTAATTAACTGGAAGCTTAGAGCGATTGTCTAGTAAGTGCTGGAGCAGTCGGAAACGTCGGTTTCTTGTCGTTTAAGTATGGTATGAGGATTCCAAGTGTCCAAGTGGAGTCCAAGGTACCGGATTTGATCAACAGGGATAAGCGGTGTATTATTAAAGGATACTATAGGACAGGAAGTCATAGGTTTACGATGATTATAGGTTTACGACGAAACCTATAAATATTAAAATAGAAAAGTAAACTTTTTAAAGGATATTATATCATTATTAAAACCGAAAGGAAAAAAATATTATTGCTTGATCGAAGTTTACAACCTGGAAAATGAGGTAAATACAAATAAATAAATATGAAAATAATTTTCAAAAAATGGGGTTAAATTTTTTTTTTCTTTACCTAGAGCTATTTTAAAAAAGATCTATAAACAATTTTATAAAATAGTTATATAAAAGAATATAACAATCTAATCAATGTAGTTTTATTACAATTTATTCGTCTATAAAGCAATTAAAAAAACAAAAAATATGAATATGCATAATTAAAATAGTTAAAATTATTGTTTAAATCCTTCTAAGCTTACTAATCCATGAAATTTCAGGTCTTACACGTAATATCAAGTAGCGTGACAGAGATCCTTGACTACTCAGTGGCGAACGCGCTGGTTCTCTTTACCAACTTCTTCATAATCGTCAGCTACCCGATCAACTTCGCCATCTACTGCGGCATGTCCCGCCAGTTCAGGGAGACCTTCAAGGAACTTTTCATCCGAGGCGCTGTCCAGGTGACGAGGCGGAATGGCGGAGGATCATCCAAGTACTCGTTAGTCAACGGGCCAAGAACATCCACGAACGAAACTGTCCTCTAAAGGTTAGTAGCAAATTTCATGTTATCAAGATATATCTGCAAATTAAAATCTCTTGAGGTTTATAAAACAAAAATAATGCAAATTATGGGGGTACCCTCTGTTCGCCTATACGACGGACCAATCTCCATTTTACAAATTATACAACTGTTCCTCTAATTATTCTAATTATTGTTCAAATTGTATAACTTTAATTTACATGTATTCTGTAGTTCAGATTGTGTTAATTTTCATCAACATAAAATAAATTGAACGAAACACAGTTCGGACAAATTTTTAATTTCTTTAAAAAATTATATTATACATCACGCCTTATTGCCTATTTATATTATTATATAATTATAATTTTTATTGGTAATTTGTAACCATTATATATATTCAACTTGTCCAGTTCATATAGGCCCAACAATAGTTTGAGCCTTTTAATGCTAATATTTCCATTGTATGTTATATTGTTCTTCCTTTCCTATTTCATAATAATTATAATTATATCGCAATATAATATAAACAATATTATATATAATGTAATAATTAATATATTGTATTCAAGGGGAAATAACTAGATCAAATAATAACTGATGTCACCTAGGCCAAATCAAAATACCTCCTCAAAAATACTATTGTCCGCACAAATTTTTAGTCTAAAATCTTTATTTTGTATTAGGAGAATAGGAGATAACAGGGGCTAAACACAGTAATTGAGCTGTATTATTTGTAAAATAATCGCCTAATAAGTTGAGCTCCTGCTATCTCCTACTCTCCTAATATCAAAATAAAATAAAATATGAAAGTCACTAAAAAAAATTGTATAAAGGGTGTTTCAGGATTTAGTGGCCAAACGGCAAACAAGAACTAAGGACCTCAAGACAAGAAAAATATTCACATTTTCGTTGCTATGAATTATTTACGTTATATGAAATAAATAAAACATATTTCTTTGTTCTGACTACTTTATTAATTAAATATAAACATTAACATTCATATTAAATGTTGTTCAAAGTGATTTCTTTGAGCATTAAGACAGGCTAGGCATCTTTCTTCAACAGCAGCAATGGAATGCAGACCAAGCCACTAGTCCTGCACGGCCAATCCATTGATCGGGATATGGGATATGATTGAGCAAGTCCGATCAATGACCTTAATTCCTTACGAAGAACGAAAGTTGAATCTTATGAAATAATAACACATATCCAGTGCCGTTCTGCCATTGCTGCTGTTGAAGAAAGATTCCTACCCTTTCTTAAAGCTCAAGGAATCACTTTGAACAACATTTAATACGAATGTTAATGTTCACATTTAATTAATAAAGTATTTAGAACAAATAAATAAGTTTTATTTATTTCATATAACGTAAATAATCCATAACAACGAAAATCTTTAAGTGTGAATATCTCCTAAACACAGCGTTGCGGACATACCTTCAGAGGAAAGTTTTTTTCTTGTTTTGAGGTCCTTAGTTCATTTTTGCAATTTGGCAACTTATCCCTTAAGCACTCTGTATAACAGAAAGATAAAATTCATTCACTTTTAATAACAAAACGATTTCAAATATCTAAAAAGTCGTTTCCATCCGTGCTGGGCTATCTGGTACTGTTAAGCGAAGACATTGAAACTATAAAACTAAATACGACAACGTTAATGAAAGCCGGTAAAGAACTAGGACTCCAAATAAACGTGGATAAAACAATATATATGGTTAACTGCAAAAATGGCGATATTACTGGTGATACCGATATAGATGGTAATATGTTTGAACAGGTAGAGAAACTTAGATATCTAGGTTCTACGATAACTAGAAAAAACGAAATTGAAGAAGAAATTAGGGTTAGACTGAAGGCGGGAAATGCTTGTTATTTTTCTGTGACAAAACTACTTAGTTCGCGCCTCTTGTCCCGGAACTTAAAAATTAGAATCTATAAAACAATTATCTTGCCTACAGTTCTTTATGGATGCGAAACTTGGCCGCTTACATTAAGGGATGAGCAGCGTCTTAAGGTTTTTGAAAATAAAGTATTGCGAGAATATTCGGACCGAAGAAGGATGAGTTAACCGGAGAGTTCAGACGGTTACACAACGCCGAATTGCGTGAGCTGTATCCGGGTAATATAATTGAGGTAATTTCATCGCGGCGAATCAAATGGGCTTGTAAAGTTGTTGGGCTTAGTAACGAGAGAATTCCTAAAAGGTTAATATTTGCTGTGCCGAATGGTAAGCGTCCGAGGGGTAGACCGAAGCGAAGGTGGGAAGATTGCATTAAAGCCGACCTGGAGGGACAGGGTTTGGATAGCGAACGGTGGAGGGAGATGTATAATAAGCGATTGGTGGTGTCGGCATCGAACCTTCGGGAGGATAAGCCTTTTATTATTATTTTAAAAAGTCGTTTCCACACTCTAAATAATTCAAAATTAAAATATCAATTTTCTGTAGTAGTCGATCAACGAGAAAAAAAAATCAAATTCTTCACTAATATATAGATGCTTTCGACTCCCATTGATCCCAAAAAATAAAAAAAAAGAATAATAAAAATTTTAATAATTTTCACTATATATAATACAGCGGTACAGATCACTTCTACGATTCTCAGGAATAATGAATTTCAATGAATTAGGTGTCAAACGAAAGAGCTTTCGTGAAAAGGTACCAATTTCAAAACTTAACCCTTTACTACAAATACAATAAAATTAATTTTAAGATTTCATAAGTCGACGGATCCAGATGGTATCTCTACGTTTTAAAGCCCTAATATGTATCGTTTTCGAGCAAACCGCAATTCTTTTCTAAATTCACTAAACAGAAGGAGAGCTACTTCCGTTTCTCGATGGGCCTCTCTATAACCTGCCCTCAAAATGGATATAGTCTCAAAGTGCAACTTAAGTAGCAATCGAAAATAAAATAGTCTTCGCATTATAAACCTCCATCGTCCCCTTAATGTTATCCAAATTGTTCCAGCATTTAACTCCCTTTTAGTAGCTCTTCGGAATATTCTTTTTATCTGTCTACTATATGTTTGTTTTGCCATATAATGGATACTGACCCTTGATTTCTTTTCCGAGATTCTTTCCTCGTTCTCTTAATGTATTTTTTTCAATTTTTGAATCCAATTTTGCGTTTTTTCCTCATTTTTATACCAAATACACACAATTAGTTCCGGCTACCAAGAAGAACATCGTACAGCTTTGCTCTTTCCATATTTCTTTGTGCAGAAAGAATAAAGCATTCAATATTTGAATTCCCTGTTTTACTCCTAGAAAATAAAAAAAAGGTAATTAATATTTTTATTAGTGTTATTTGTGTATGTATTATTTGTTTTGTTCGGCAACTATTCGTTATATGTAGCTCAGATTAAGTATATATTTTAATTTATAAAACAGGTATTAATATGACTCATTTCCGGAAAAGTATATACGGTTTAACTTACCTCTAAGAATCAATAAATATACAAAACAAAGTGTTAAATTGCAAATGTTAGATAAAAAATTCAAATTCAAAATATTGAGCCAAGTATTTTTGAATTAAATTTTATTATTATAATTTTATCATTTTTACAATAGAGACCTTCTTAAACGACATCCGTTTGGAATAAAGAGAGTAACATTTACACACAAAAAAAAAGTTTAATTTAACAATCAATATAATATACCATAAACGTTATTATAGCACTATAACTATGCCACTTATGGGTACTAAATGATGTGGCAGGGAGCTGTATGCATGCTGTACTACCGCTTTTCGGAATTGTACCATTTATCGGAAAAATGCATTATCCAAATGTTTTATTTCAGAGCGTTTTCCGTTATTGTTGGTCGTTTAATTAAAAACGATATTCAAGTTGAAATTTTTTTTTTTTAAAGTTGACTTTACTGGTATTTTTATTGGTTAAGCCAATTATTTTTTAATATTTCTTGATGTTTTATTGTTCTCTGACTATCCAGCTTTAATAAAAGTCCAATAATGACGAAATTAAGCCAAATACTGATTCTCAGTGACCAAAAAACTAACTTAAGTCAAAGTCGTCAGTCCGCCATCTTTGGACGCCAGTCTGGGGCCGTACGTTCACTTTTTTTGTGGGAACATTGGCTTTTTTTAATAAATAGTTACAAGGAACACAACAGGAGGTCTGGCCAAAAGACTATGAGGGACGCAAATCGGTCACCTACTGTTATATTAATATATTACATATTTTCAAATTTATTCGGTTTTTATTTTTTTGTTTATTATTTCACTCACTTAACTTTTAGTAATTATTATTATTTCTGATGTTTTGTAAATTAAATACAGGGTGATAATGAAATGTGTACTTGTAATACAATAAACAACGGCAAGATTGATTTATTTATTTTTTTGTATGAACTGGTTTATAGGTATAGACTATAAATTCGCTCCATAACCTCTAGCACCAATCAACCCTTAAGGTCAGACATTTAATAAGCTTTAATTGGATATGATTTTATTACATTGAGTACCTTTTTTTATTTTCAAAAAGTACTAAACTAAATTCGATTCCTTATTATATTTATATGAAACTGGAAATACCAGAATAGTTATGGACAAGAAAAACTCAAGCTAAAGTTGTTTTTTTTCTTTGATTACTTTTTGGACAGAATTTTTTTTTTTTTAGGTTATTTACTATCCATATATTTTTTTTTCTTAAGGTCTATTTCAGTTACTTAATTTATAATCACATTAGAAGTTTAAATTTTAATATCCAAATCACAGTGAAGATGATGAATTTCATGATTAAATTTAAGAAGAAATATGTCAAGGTTATGGACACTAGTTAGAACGCCTCGAAACGTTAATTCGATTCGCATAAAATAGACAATGAATAATTTAAATTAAACTAATAATAAAAGGAGACTGTTCAAAAATTAATTATAAATAAAACGATTATTTTTTTTAGAATAATTAAACTATTCTTATAAAATTTGAATTATTCTAATATATATAATAATAAATATAAAATTTAGTAAATTTATTATTATTTAACATTTTCAGTAATTACATT